TTGAGCACTGTTTTAATCACCGCAGCAAAGTAATTACACCAGACTTGTTAAGAATAGCATCCCTTTAAAGTTGTCTATTTAAAGAGTATTTCATCATCTACCACACACAAACATTGATTTTAAATTTTTCAGAAAATTATACTCCACTTAAAGTATTCCATCCAAGGCTAGTTAGAACACATACCTAAGGCAGGCATAACAGAATCAGTTTTGTAGGATCAGTGCCTGTAAACTCAGAAACCCTAGAATCACTCTTCAGAGGAGAAATGTATCTCCCAGTCCAAAGCAAGTTCTCTCAAAGTCACTAGCTAATTTATTCCCCACAGAATACTCATTAGTGTGGCAAAACCGATGCTGTTTATAAAGAGAGAATTGCATTACTGGTAAATCAGATTTCAATTCTCCTGTATAAACGTACTATACAGTTTGCCAATTTCCTTTCATATATTATACATTCCATAGAAGATATATATATCTTAACTAGTGGGGTTTTTCCCCTCATTTCCAACCACTTGAAGTTACTTTAAAGGTTTGATAAAGATTAAGAAATTTAGTCCTAGTGGAATACTGGCGGTTTCAGACCAGAGCATCCACCAATATATGTGCCAAAAGATTCACTAGGTTTATGTCATTAGACATACTACCTCCAATTATGAATTCAACCTCAATTGTTTTGATAGGAGCTATTACGGATGCATAGTATCTCCAGTTTATCTACAGCAGTTTTCTGAAAAAGGAAAACATGCAAGTTATTGTAACTTGACACAACACCTAAGAACAGATCTGTAGCAGTTAAGATACAGGTCTGATAATTTGGTCAACAGGGGAAGAAAAATCTTGACAGTGCAGAGTCTTGTGAGACAGTGGACGGTATCTGTTTCAGCGTCTCATAAAAAGTAAATGCAAGAAAGCATAGTTCAATCTTATCTTTAATATATTTCAAGATGATATATTTTTAATGAAAGTTATGTTAAATCACAAACAAGATTAATTATGAGAATTAACACAAGAAACTACATTAAACTGTGCAACCAGCATCATAATTGTAGCAATGATCTCAGAAGAGTCAATGCAATTCATACTCTACATTCAACTAGCATGCAGCTTCCATAGAAAATTTATCAGTAAGAGGAATAAAACAGCAAATGTAACTATTTCTTTCTTTTGTGACGGGATATTTTTGCATAAAGCTGTCCAATCTATTTCCATCATATATTATAGAAGTGTTTTTAAAAAGAAAAATTGAAGTCTTTAAATTTAGCTCGGTATTTTGAATGGAAGCAGTGTTCTATGCTATCTAGTATCATCTAATGTTTGGCCACTGAGCAGATGCCATTCCATCTGCTAGAACTCATAAATATTAAAGCTCTCAAAGTTAAACTACAAATTCCATTTTATTAACTACATTTGAAATGAATTGTTATTAATGACTTAAGTATCATAATAGACCAATACTTGCCAAGTAGAAAAGGGAAGAATTCAATTAAATTACTGAGTATTTCATTATGCACAGGTGACTTTCAGTCTGTAGTACGATGAACAATCAAAATAGACTGTCAGTGTCACAACATACTAAGTGCTTCAGTGTCAAAAGAGGCATGCTCACGTTTTTTTTCTCCTCTCATCCAGCAAGACCAACAGGCAAGAGAGGAGAGGTAAAGCATAGATGACTTATGTTAACACTGACACATACAATGGCCTTCCTCCCAGCCAGCTGGAGTTATCAGCACACACACCAGCATCCAAACAACTTTCCATCATCACTGTAGTAACAGCGCCAAGTAACTGGTGTACCATTAAATGCTTAACAGAGGGAGAAAAGGAAAAAAGAAAGAAAAAGTAAATTCTCAGTATCTTGCACTGACTGTCTGTTGTTTTGTCAAACAGATTTGTACTTTGGGGGGTGCAGAAGTAGAAGTCACAATATGCTAGTTAATACCACATAAAAACCTAGCGCAGGGAGAAGACTGAGAGGGAAGAGGGAAAATGACAGCATTTAAATGGAGATACCATAACTATTATATAGTGTATGAAAAGGTACTAAAGTTTTAAGTCTGCATAAAGTGAGCTGATAAATGACTGCTGTGTAAAACTGAAAACACAAGAAAGAAACAGCTTACACAGTTGTGTTTCTAACTTAAGGCACAAGTTTGATTTTTTCAGTCTCAAAGAATTGAGGGGAGGGGTGGAAGCCTGCTGCAGGAACATAGAAAGTGCATGCACAGGGGAACTGAGGAACACCACACCTGCTAAAGAAAAAAAATCCCTCAAATTCTAGCATCCGCTCAGTAATTTTGCTTCATTATGAAACCATGGCAGATTATTTCGTTGTACCCAAAGAACAAAGTCATTCATTCACAGTCATACAGCAGATGAATTATGCTGAGGAAGGAACTAAGTCTGGAAAAAGCTGCAGACCATAATACTGTGGGGAGAAAGGGCTGCCGTGTGGAACAATCTGTTATACCCATCCCCAATCAGACAGAGCAGAGCAGTAGCCTCCAAAGCCTTTACATCAAAATGTTGTTATAAAGAGGAAAAGAAGGTCACAAACATTTTGACTTCAGTCACTGCCTATTGCCTTTTGAATACATCCAGCTTTGCAAAAGGCTTGTTTGCAAGAGCTGAAAATACACACTGCAACAGACCAAACCTCATTGTCCTAACAAGTCTGAAAAAACAGCTGAAAACTGACATTTTATTTTCTGTCCTTGCTGCTAAAGAACTAACTTTTAAGGGCGAGAAGATACAAGGTTGACAGGAGGAAAAAGAAATAGGATATTAATCATCCTCCTTCTCCCCCCTCATTTTACATTTCAACTAAATCAGGTTACATACAGCAGCACGATAGAAAACTGTAAATTCTTGTAGTACTCTCCACCACTTTCTCTCCCACTTCCTTTTGCTTTTATCCTGCCAGCCCCCCTCTCACTGACACACTCTCTCTTATTTTATCCACTGTGTCACACCTTGTATTCTACTTCACTAATCTGCTCACTATCAAATGCAAAATACACTGCAGGGGGGAGACATTTTGTTCCAACAAATGCTTAAGTAAAAAAAGGACTAAAACAACAGGACTGAAAAAGGAAACTATAATTACATAAAAATCGCATAAATGGGCAAACACTGAGGAAGAGCCACTTTTAATCCTCAAGAACCAGAACACATTAGCTTCCCTTCTTTTCTCCAGTTTGGCAACAATATTCTTGAATAAAAATGGCCTATGTGAGTAAAAGCTGAGTATTACCTCATCCATAATGCAAGACAAAGGCCTGAATGTTATCTGCTGTATTACCCTTCTTAAATAACATTTCTGGAACTTAACTATGAGTGATAGCACCAGGAAGCCAAGTCAGAAAACAAAGGACTGACTCGAACAGGGTAGAAATCAGAATGGTTAATACTTTACACTGATCATTCTTTAAGTCTATGGCAGGAAATAATTTGACAAGGCTTTTCTATGTAAAAGTAGTTCAAAATATTATGCCTCAAGTTAACCACTAGTATTAAAGTGTGCTACCGTGACTTTACATTGCTGTGCAATGTTCAAAGAAGAGAATATTAATTTACTCCAGTAATTTAACAGCATTTTATTCTGTAGTTGGTAAGAATTTAACTGCTTGATTTACAACATGAAAGTTACGACAAAAACTGGTACATTAAAGTCCTTTACAAAACCATAAAATTCAGCTAGAAGTAGCTGGTGTGAACAGAACTCCTTCCAGAACTTTACTGTCCTCTTTCACTGCTCTCAACATAAATCTTTTTTAATGCATGGATAGCACTCTTCATTTATCTATTCTTACAAACTAATGGTGGAAAAACATGCTGAATTGTATGGCACATTAATGTCTACCTGGACTTCTCTTCCGTAACCCACTGCACTGTTGGAATAAACACCAAGACAGTGACCATGGTCGCTCCTCTGAAATACACAGTATAAACCTGTGCTAGTCCCTAAAGACAGCAGGCACAAAACCCATTATTAGTACATTGGCATGCCTAACAACTTATTCCAGGAAGTTCTAGTCTAACATAGCTCTTACGACACACATACCCAAGTGTGCTGGATTACAGTATTTTTATATTTCATCTCAGTTTTCAGGGCATATGCACTACATATGTTAACTGTGAGGAATAAGAAAAAACTCTAGATCAATAATCTATCCAAGCTCTAGACTAATAAACTTAATGTTGACCTACACAGACTTGTATGGAAATGCCCAGAAGACTACAAACTCTCATTTCTGATTTACAAATCCATATGAACCACAATATTTTGCAGCAGGAAATGTCTCCATACTCTTCCCCCATTTAAAACTGAAATAAGCATATTTTAAAAATAAAAGGTGTGAAGAAAAATTCCTAACCAAATCCATAAGCTAGCATTGAGGAAAAACGAATAAGCGTTTGTTTAGAAATCACAGCAGTGACCAGATTATTGTGGTCTTGAAACTTTTTAGGCTAATTTGGGGCAAAAAGGACAGGTTTATTTTAACATGCAGCTCTGCTACTGCCTTAAAATGCTAAGAGATTGTATGGAAGCATCAAGTCCTATTGATCTGACTCAATGTGCAGTTCAGCACTGCCGACACAAAGGAGACAACAGAAACATAGCTGGGGAAACACTGAGTTTAAATTTAAATACATATAGAACACTTGAAGCACAACTGAAATATACCATTTGCAGATGAATGGCTTATGAGGAGGTAGGGAATTGTATCAGCCTAATTATGCCAGAACAAGAGCGTGTCTGCGCATATGTATGCATGAGAAATACAAAAATTTGGAATACTGAGCATATCTTTCTGTGCACAAGATCCTTTCTTACATAGTTGCATAGTTTTCTTGCCCCTTAGAGGTAAGCAGAAAAGACAGAAAGCAAACTACTGAAATTAGTGACAGAAACATGAAAGAAACAATGAGTTTCTCCCTGAAATAACAACAATATTTTCACTGAAGGGTTATCAGCTTCATTTACTTCGAGTGCGCCATACCTGTTGAAGTTAATATCTGGATAACTAGAATACTCAGACTTCATCTTCGCATTGCGACGTGGAAAAGTACAGAAGAAAGCATTGGCTAGAAAACTAGCAATCTGTTCCTGTGACATCGTGATGGAGTGATTCATCTTTTGTTTCAGTAGAGGTATTGGCTACCAACAAAAGAAGTGAGGGGGAGGGAGGGGCAGGAGAGAAGGGAGGGAAGGAGAGAGACAAATAATTAGCTTAGCCTTTTAAAAGAAAGAACAGGAGCACAAAATTACATTTGTTAAATTAGAGCAAAAGTAATTTAGGCCACTGGTGAACCCTTTAATCAGCAGCACCATTAAAGCCAAGAACAGTTTATTCAAGACAATTCAGAAAAAGCTTGCTTGACAAACTGCAGATTTCTAATCAATAATAAAAGAAAGACCAAGAAAACACAACTTATCAAACAAATCCATGGGGAATGGGGGGGGGGGGGGTAGGGATAGATGGGATGTTGCAAATTCTAGGCAATCTTAAAAACTCAAGTACAAACCCACTTTCAAGAGCTGCATAGTTAAGAACCCGTAAGGAATGCTTTCAGCTACAGATATCATGCTTTGTAATTTACAAAGAAATGTAGAAGTCGTGCCACAGATCATCATCCTATGACTTGCTTGGAATTTTTTTTTCCATCCTACTTGGAGGAATAACACTGATACAATTTGCAGAAAGTACATGATTATCCATTCTTTTATAATCAGAATGAACAAAAACCTCAGCTTCACTTTGGTCTTCAGTTTGGAGTTTTATTTAACTCAAGCCAGAGTTTCTTTAACGTAAAAAGAAACAAAGGGGCAGGAGAAACCAAAAAACCCCTGAAGTGTTATACATCTTTCATTTTATCAGGCTTTAGCCTCCTGATTTTGAATTTTCGCTCACCACATTCACAGCACTTTATTTTGAATTATGTGATAATACTGGGGTGTGTGTGTGTGTGTGTGTGAAAATCATTCGGACTGCTAAGGAGTCCAGTAACAATTACGATAAAGCCACTTGATGACAGGAGCAAGAGAACACAGTTTTCACCTCTTCTTTCAGTATTCTCAGCCATCATTAGTCTAGCTCCAGGAAAGCTGAGCAGCTACATTTTAATCCTTCAAATCATGAATACAGAAATTGCTACTAATTTAGACTGTTGAATACACAGCCCTGTTTACTCCACAAAACAAACAAGTTTTCCTTAATTCTTCTAACTACTACATTCACATTCACTGAATCTCATTCTGTCTTTTGGCTATTTAATTAACAAGCTATATTATGATGTCTGAAGTCACACAGCTCTCTGGGTGAAAAAAGCCTCAGAAGCGCTCTCTAGCAAGTTCCACAAGCCTATAAAATTAGAATATTTTGGACAGCTTGCCATCTTGGAACAAATTTAGCTTTATGTCTAACCAGAAAAATTAATCTGACCAAGTTCTTCACAATTTACACTGCCTAGCAGTACATCAGCTTTAGAAAAGGTATTACTACATGAACTTGCAAGTCTTATGTTTAACTTTGTGTTCAGAAACTTCATAGCACTCTCAAAAAAACTTTCTCCACCAAGTAACCAGTAAAAAAACGTTTAAGAAATGTTCTTACTGTAGGACCCCTGCAGCACAACAAAGTAGGGAAAGATTTTCCCTGCTCCCGTCCAACAAAATCAGTTTAGAAAATTGTAACAAAGGAGCTTACAAATTAAGAGTTGTTACCTTGCTAATGTGTTACCTATCATATATACTCACTTACTTGATCAGTCCTATTCTCTTTTATCAGCTTTACTAACTACAGAACTGATCCCCATAACAATAATAAAGAGTTAGTTAAGGTTTGTATGTTTGCAACTGTTGCAATGCTCTAATTAGAATAAAATATGCTCCCAAGTAAACAGAGGCTTTCTGAAAATACTACCAGGATTAAGAGGTTTCTAAAATCAAGAACTAGATGTTTGAAGTTTATTCACGTATTTCAGTTTATAAGTGCGATTTTTCAAACCTGAAAGGTTTCATGGTCATTTCATTTAAGACAAGGAAGAAGGAACTCCAGCCTATAGAAAGGAAAGTGTTACTGAAGTTCAGGCTAAAAATATGACAGTGAGATATATTTTTTTTACATTCTATTTTATTATCATTATAGACTTCCATTGTCCATTCTGCTCCCTAGACCTCAGCTGCATTCAACATAAAACCAATAGCTGTCATTGAGAACACAACATGGTCTTGGTGTTTTGACCTTAGCCATTAATTACAGTTTGTAGAAAAGTGGTCTGACACGGAGCACTTTGCGAGCTGCGTTTGCTTACCTGGGTGCAGATACTAGGGAGACAGAGTGCCAGCTTGACCATATCAGGAAGAATTGACTGGAACAAATGTCGAGCCTCTGCATCTTCAAGAACCTGTTAAGAAAGGGGGCGGGGGGGGCAGGGGGTAGAAGAAAAAAGGCTTTTACTTCAGAATTTACAACTGTACAAAAAGGTTGTGAAAACAGGACCCACCCAGAAGAAACAAGAGACTAAAATGGGTCCTATTAGCTTCATGCAAATCTGTAGCATTCTTCATGTTAGTACCTCACTGTATTTTACCTTGCAATAATCCACTAATTGAAACACAGAAACAACTCTCAAAAGCTGCAGTTCAGAACATGTCACAAAACGTCCTTTAAAGGAACCTTGAATAAGTTATCATTTGAGTCTTTCCAAAGCAGTGAACCAAATTCTCCACTGGTAAAAATCACGACCTAATCACAAAAGTACTGGAACAATTTACTTCACCTTCATATTCAGGTCATAGTCCAAGACAAGCACCTGTGACATTCTCCTGTTAAGGACATATGAAACGCACTGCTGGGTCAGATCAGTGGTCCTCAGCAGCAGCAACAGGAAATGCTATGTAGGAAGAGCATGTAAGCCTGGCCACTTTCTGCTGTTCACCCCCACCATGTTCCCTCAAGAACTATAACTGTTGGATTACATATGTTAAAGGGTGAATTCTGCTTGGTCCCACATGCTGAAATTGCAATCTTTTCAGTCTCTTTCTGTAAGACAGCTGATCCTATGACTATTTTAGCTGCCCCTCTCTACCTGCTCTAACATTCTTCCTGAGAAGGAGAGACCAGAATTTAAAACGCTCCCAAAAACGGGCACACCAACATTTCACAAGGCTTCTCAAACCTTTATAAGGCCAAGTCAAGACCAAGTCACATCAAACCTTTCTTGTCCTATTCTCAACTCCCTTACTGACTCTGTCTGGCCTACTGGTGACATGTTTGGCTATCAAAGCATATCAAGCCAAAGTTTTCAGAGAAAGCCCACGATCTCTCATCTAAGTTGCAACTGCCCGTTCCGCACTCAACATCACATACCCAGAGTTTAAATGAGCCCACTCACATCCACATCCCTGTTCTTGTATCATATACCTATTTTTAAAAGGTGCAAGAGGTTCTTTATGGTAGGCAAGGCTCTTCAAAGAAAAGCTAGAATAGGCACATGAATGGCAGGTCACGAAAAGAAAAGCAACATAAAGCAGTGCAGCTGCAATATGCAAAGCGGCACAAAAGCATGCCATATCCTCAAAAGTCTCACATTCTGCCATATGAATGGGCTGAAGCAAGATCAAACAGAGAAAAGCACATTCTCCATCTTCCTGTGCAGTGGTGCAGTTTTTCCCCTGATCTGGCTGTTAGATTTGCATGCTGCATTTAAGGCAAAAAGAAGGGAGAAGAGAACACACAACTTGCACCACAGCTAGGGAATGGCAGACGAAGGTCACAGTTCAGCCTTCTGCCCCCCTCTCTCCTCTACATCCAGGGAATCTGTATTGAAAAATAATATTCTGTAGTTTTAAAGCCACACTCAGAAGTTGTTGAGACAAGTACCTTCTACCAGTTTCTAGATTAAACTCATGAAAATTCTGGAACTGTGCCTTTAAAACTACAGAATATTATTTTTCAAGTAAAACTGTTAGAAAATAATTGGATTTACTACCAATTTCACACAAAAACAATAGCAGACAGAATGGATGAAACAGCATCAAGGTATTACCAACTTTAGTCTCTGCAACACTTAAGACTAATTGTGAAATCATAGAAAGTGATCTTTTTAGTCATATAATCAAGCTTTGTAATTCATACTTCAATGGAAAGTTTCACACAGGCTTCAGAACATAAAAAAAGATACTAGAAATTTTCTTGAGAAGAGGAAAATATGGTGCCTCTGTTTCAAAGCATAAATGCCAAGCTAAAAATATTGTTCAAAGGCTATCAACTTCTGATCATTAAAATAACTATAGAAACATCTCTGTTCTATTCCCTCCCATTCCAAGTGACATAAAGGCATAAGAGTGCTCAGGAAGTCAAAAAACCAAAACACAAACAAGTGCCCAAATGACAAACAACTTATGGTTGGGAAGTAGGGGAAATAAAACAATCCCAGTGCCTACACAGTTACTTTCTACGGATTATGTATGCTGCTCATGGAGACATACAAACAAGGTTTTAATTTAAAGTTCTAAATCGAAACAAGAACCTACAAAGAACAGGAAGCCTAGGAAACAGGAAAATCATTTGATAGAAGAGGAATCCAAGTAATATACAAATCATTACTGAAAGTCAACTTTTTTTTTTTAAGGTTAAGAAATGAGAGGCATCTAGCGTGCTCTCTCTCTCCTATTGTTGGCTGTATATGCACCTACATATTTACATAGTATAGGTCAGATATTGAAAATTATGACCTAACCTTTGACATAACCTGCTCTAGCAGGAAACTTTACTCTGTTCTTAGGCACAATGATTTTAAGTGCCATAAAGTAACAAAATGAGCATTTAAAGGCTGGAATTTCAGATCTCAAGACATAAAATGAATATGTAAGTTAAATCTATTCAAAACATGACATTTAACCTCAGATGTCTACCAGGCTGTCAAATTCTGATATTCTCTCCCCTTCGGGTAACACTTCCTCTCTTTTAAAGTTGACATATAAATAGTGGCTGCTATGCTTTGCTGACTGCCACTGACTATACAGTATCACTTATCTGGTGACACATTATGGCACTGGACTTTGTCACAGCTGTCAAGACTTCAACCTTTCCTTTATGCTTCTTTGAAAGCAATATAGTAATAGTATGAGACAATTTCTTCCCAAAACAGAAGCAGGGACAGCAATTGCACAGCTCAGCTCCGATACAAAATGCAATACTACAAAGTTCACTCCTTAAACTCCGAAATTCTACTTTTTCTTCTCCTCACCTTCCTAACGTTGCACCAGAACATGCTCTCTTCTCTATATTATTCCTACACTTGACTTTTACTGGATCTCCACTAATGAAAACCTCAAAATTTGGAGCTGTTAATGCCCAGAAGTGTTCTCATTGGACTTCAGACAGATTATTCTTACATGTAAATGACAAACGAGGTGGGACTTTTCTGTGAAAAGTGTTGAGCGCTGTGAAAACCTTACTACATTTTCACAAGATAAGTCACTTAAAGGACCCCACAACTTCAAAAATATGATCATTGTAAGTGCCAAGTTCACAGACATTGCCAAGAAACTCCTAACTCTGCACGTCATTCTCTAACCAAACCACCAAGCATCCCTGTTTTGAATACTCCCCTATTCAGGCACAGGTCTCCTAAACATTACAGGGAAGCACATCAATAGTTTTCAACCTCAAACATAGTTTGTTTCTTCCAGAAACTTATAACTTCACAAAATTGCTGCAGCGAGTAGTCTAAATCTGTTGTTCAACTGCAGGTGCTGGTTTTTGGTAGTTGTTTGAGTTGTGGGGTTTTTTCTGATTTGTTGGGGTTTTTTTGGATGTGTTTTGGTTTTTTTTTTTTTAAAATCAAACCCACATAACCAAAAAAAAAAAAACCCAACTAAAAAAATTTTTCCCTAAAAATACCTCCTTGGGGAACTACTCAATCCTGTGCTTCCCATTTATATCTTGACGCTATAACCCATTATTGAACACCACCAGTAAGCCAGAAATATGTATCCTTTCTTGCTTTATGTTTCTAGAAAAACTAATTAACTTGAGTCATGGACACATCCATGTAATCACAACTTTCCCTTTCTGCCCGTGAACTCCTTCTGTACACGTAACATTCCTATGAGATTTCTGTGAAAAAGAACACCTGCAAACCCCTGGCTGCTTGGCTTTCATCCTGTTTTGACCACCAGCATGCCACCACAGCTGCAGCTTTGTAGACCAATCACTGTCACTGCATACTCTCAGCTACGCTCAGTGCAACACAGAGCCTGGTTTTATCTGTGACAGCCTTTTCAGACTTTGAAAGCAGCAAAAAAGAACACTCAATCAGAGAAAGTAAAAGGATGTGCTGACACCACGGCTATATTTGACAGACTTCTCACAATGCAAATGCCAACCTGGGAGAACCTAGCAACACCTCAGAGAACACCTGGTCACAGAACTGAATGAAGATTTATTTAGAAGGAAACCGTCTTCAGGAAGCAGTGACTTGTACTGATGTAAAATAAAGCATAGTTAGAGTCACGTTACATATTCTACTTATCTGTTGTTACTGAAAGAGGGATGTGTGATTCTGTTTACCCAAACACTCACCCACCCACCACATTTCACCAGTTCCCATGTTCATCTGATAACTTCCTGAGATCCTTCAGCTTGCTAATGCTACAGGAAAATAACTCGGGGTGGGGGTAGCCTTCCACTGTATTGAGTCGAACCAGCCTACCAAAAAGCCATGTATGATTAAATGTTGTGCAGGGTGGGTGGTAGGTGAAACAGAACCAGCCACACCCCTTGTCAATGGGCTACAGAGGCAGATATCAGTTGCAACTCTGCTCACTGAAAAAGCAGTAATTTTCTAGCCAGCATGAAGCTGTTACAACGACGACCTCACTTTGAGGTAAATCTAGCACAGGAACATCTGTATTGATTCAGTAACCTGCTTTTAACTATGTACAGCCTTTTTCAAGGCTACAGCTATGCAAAGATTAAGAGAAAAGATTGGATATCCATTGTTAAAAAACAGCATTTGTTTTATAACTTAAGGAATTGTAAAATACTAAATTTTTATAAAGGAAAATACATTAAGTATAGCAGTTTTGTTTTTAAACAATTGTTCAGTTTCTCCTTTCCTTATTATGCACACATGTCCTTTTCAGCTTCCTTCAGGATTTGAAATAAAAACAAAAATATATTGTTGACTTTATCCATAGTCCTCCAATCATGCAAAAAATTATTTCAGAATGAAATAAAAGCGAGGGTTCTATCCCAAGGGGAAAGTATATGGAATCAGAGTTGCAAAGCATGACTTGCCTTTTGCCAAAGAAATCACTTGGCAATTGCATCAGTATTTGCACTGGAGTGACTGATTAAATGAACATGACTTAGGGCTCCAGCTCTTAAGACACAAAT